AAGAGTAAAGTTGAACAACCTAAGAGCTTTATTAAAAATTAAGTATACCAAATTGTCTATAAAACAATAAATTATTCCAATAAATCTCCGAAATAATTTAACAAAGTAATATTTATTAATAAAATTCAACTTACCTTATAAAATATTCGAGCCGAAATCCTGGAAACTGTTCTCAAATTATATCCTTTTATGTTTTTACACATGTATGGCGGATAAAATTAAAGAGTTTCATCGCAAAACTTTATAATATTTTCAATATTTTCAATAATATTCTTCTCTTTACTCATTTATTTTTCTAATTCAAATACTTTCCAATAAATTTTACACATAATCTTAAAGTAAAATCGAAATTGTTCAAAAATCTTTAAAGATTCCACATGATCGATTAAAAATTATCATTTCGATATTTTGATATCAAATCAAAGAAAGAATGAAATAATCAAGAAATCTATATTAAATCTTAGCTTTTAGCTTAAAATTTGCCAAAAAAAAAAAAAAATAAGAAAAATATCCTATTAGAAAATATTTTTCAAAAAATGTTTTTCTTTTTTTTGCCCTTTATCCATTTGATTTCAACTTTTATACACTCAATTGATTACAAAATTCATCTGTCTTTTTTTTTCTATTTGTCAATAAAGTTCACGTGAATTTCGAACCATAACGTAACTATATTTTATGTTAATCATTCCTGGCGTCTCTAAAATATACATAACGTATAGTTATAGTTGTTCTAACAACTTACAGGACATCGGGGCACATTGAATGCCAAGGTAAATAATTTCAAAATATAAAAAATTTGAGGTTGATGGAAGAGTTTTAAATAAATATTTTATTAATTTAATTCACAATTGCTTTATTGTTCTCTATTTACCATTTCGAAAGAAAAATTTAACATGAGAAAAAAACTTAGCTTTACTACTCAGTACTCACTCATCTCTCTTTGTTTTTAGATTGTTCATTGTTTTCACATAATATAAGACTCTAATTTTCTCCCAAATTCTCCGTAAACAAACAAACATACCGGCTAAACACAGCTATTTTGTTACTCCAATTCTTTTTCAATTCTAGAAAATCAAACCTATTATATCCATCCGAATTTGGAATAGCAATTATAAATGGAATAACAAATTTTCTACAAAATATAAGATGTGCTAATAGAAATATAAACTACCCATATAATTTATATTCTACATTAAATCCATTTTGATTTTTATTACATTTGATAGTGTGTCTGCATTATGTACAAATATTTATCCTGATAACATGATTTCCAACTACAAAAAAAAATATATTATTTTCCCATATATACAATATTTTCCATATTGCAGTAAAATCAATTTTTCTTTAAGGATATCACCAATATTTCTATAATATTCCTTATTTATTTTTGCTCCTTTTTGCTCCTTTCTTAATATTTTGAGAATAAAAAATTTACTATGTGTAATCATATAAATATCTTTCAATTTTTGTCGCGTTCTGTTTCCAATATCAATATTTAACCCGAACAATCTGGAGGATTTTATATGAAAATTTATGAAATAATTTTCTTTTCAATTTATTTACAATGTATATAAAGACATAAACATACATACGCATTGAAATACATGGTATTATATACTATAATATTGATAAATGAAATTAAGATATTTGGTATTATCGATTTCAATTTGAATTTATAATAAGAATTACAAGAATAATTTTGAAATATAAAAATAAAAAATATGTAAATGCTATAAAAAGAAACGTGTGTTAGAGGTGTTCATAATAACATTGGATTTAATATGAAATTTTCAGTAACGACAAAAAATGTATACTCTAATCATAAATCGCGGTATAAACATTCCAGAAATGGGTTCAATTTAGTTAAAAAGCTAAAATTAAGGTACTTTCTCATTACCCAATTCATCAATTGGTCCTAACAAACTTAGTTATTTACGCAAATACAACATCATGGTTTCCTAATATTTGAGTTCCGTAACGCAACAATATACTTTTAAGGTTCAATTCGCAAATTTGTTTTTTAGCATAACGTCTACTCAGAAAACCTAAAAATATAAATAGTTCAATAAAAATATTAAATTTTCTTTATTATAAATTGTATTCTAGTGGTTTCTTTATAATTTTATAGTAATCAGTACCTATTTTATATTTTCCAAGGACATAAGAACGATTTAATGCTGCTTTAAGTAATGAAGAATATTTTCACTTAGTTTTGTACATCGTACACAATAAATCCATTACTTTTAAGTCATATAGTTTCTAGATCGAATTTAAAAAAAAAATTTCAACTTCCCACACAATCAATCCAAAAAAATTCAATTATTATTTGCTTAACGTTATGTGCTACATAGCGAGTGTACTAAAAAGAACAAAATCTTAAATTAAAGCCAGCTGAGAATTTATTGAAGTATATTCTACAGTAATAAACTAAATATTAATCTAATATTCTTGAATGTTAAGTGCATATAAACGCATATATGTACAACCGCAGTTCTTAAGGGTGCATTTACAATTTAAATACACAATTTTTTGAATAGAAATTATTTCGAGGGAAAGAATTTAAAAATACATTTTTGGATCAATGTTATGTTTATGTACATGAATTTCTATTATTTTATCCTTTAGAATAAATGTTAGTAAATAAAAATAATAGTTAATGTGTAAGTACTTTAAATGTGCGGTTTTCAGATATTCAAAATGATATTCAAAATTCATAGGGTAAATTGATAAAAAGCAATTCATATAAAAGTAAATGCGATTTAAAGGATGCAATATTTGAAGGACCAATTTTGCATTTCTTAACTAAATATGTCTTTTAATTGTAAGTTCTCAAAGTTCTTTGTATTTTTAATTACAAGTTACAACACAAAAAATTTTATTTAATTTAATTAAGCAATAAATTTTAAGACTTCAAAAACAATTCAAACTAAATACATATGATAAATTCTTAACCATGAACTGCAAATAATTACAAAATTAAAAAATTTAGATGATAATGCTAAGTGAAAGTTTACGAAATAATTCTTTATCAATTTACCATCAATGATAAAACAAAATCCATTAACATAGATGCATTTACTAAACATCCAAATAATGTCACTTAAAATTTTTTTAATATAATGTGCGTTTAAATGCTCTCTTAAAAGACAAATAATAGATTTAAGTAAAAATCCACAAAGCTCAATGGATCTATTTATAATACAAAAATATTATATGATTTTGTTATTTCAGTTGAAGTATCGGTTTCCTATAACAATTTAACATGCAATTGCACTTTCTTTTATTAAACTACGTAAATAAACTTTCAAATAAAATTGCATAAATGCGATGAAATTTTCATTTCTAATGATATAGTTATCAATAAATATATTGTAATGGATAATTTTGTAAGATTTTTTGAATATTTCGGAACAAAATACTCGGAATCACGGAGTAATATTAAACACTTTCATATCTTCATCCAAATTACGAAATTTCCGATTTCAAACTGAAATGAAAAATTTATATGAGCCACCATAACTTCATTAAACAAAAGTTTGCATTTTCGGATTACTGAAATCAAAATATTTTTCCAAAATTAAATATTAAAGCTCAGCCCTTTGCTACGGAATATTAGCTCAGTTCTGTAAATTAAATAGAACATATTCTTGACTCAATGATGTAGGTTTTGTATATTAATTTCAATAGGGATCAGTCCAGTATAATCTGCAAATCTGAATTAAACAAAAACTAATTAATTCACAATTAAAATTTTATTTATTTAATATACTCGTATTATACTCTAAATAACTTAAAAAATAAAGAATAAAATAAAAGGGTAAAACAAATCATTAAATATCTTAATTACAATATTAAAAATGTAAAATTATTCTCTTTTTTTTTTTAAACAGAATTAAGTTTTTGGCCAATTATTTGAAAAGAAAAATATTCAATTAACTAACCAAAATGAACCTAATTTAATTATTCGAGTTATTTCAACTTTAAATTAAAACTTTGGCCTAAAATATGTTAATAATTTTTTTTTTAAATTTTTTAAAGTCTTGAATTATTATTCATAGATATACATACCATTTAGTTAAATATATATAGGCCCGAACTCAGAGTGCAGTATACACTTCATAATAAATTTTTTGTTGATATCGCAGATGCGTTATTCATAAGATTCATAAAAAATTTAGTGATAATTCATTAATTTGTTTAATACTATCAATTCCAGATTCTTCTATATTGATGTTCAAACTTTATTTTTGTATATGAGGAAACATTCTTCTGGGTAAATCAAAAATTCTTCCACTTTATATTCGTAAAATATTTAATTTACTTAATTTTGATCACTTATCTGCCGAACAGTCAATATTTATCTTCTTAAAATATGAATTACTGAATTTTGAGCCAGAATAAAGATGTAATAAAGTTTTTTTTTTAAAGTTGGATATAAATTTTTAGTAATTTTAAACATCTAATTGACACAATAAATATTTGAACAAATTTCAACAATTTTCAGTATTTTATTAATTTACTTAATGTAGGTGTATGTTTATTTTTAGAGATTAAAAAGTGAGATTATTAAAAACTTTTCATGAGATTAACTTTTATATTTTTTTAAACAAATGCTATTATAGAATTTTTATTCGCAAAATTGTTTGAACGTGGGTATGTTATAGGTGCTTTTTGACTAAAATATAAAATATTAAAATGAAAATATAAATGCAATTATAAATTTGTTTATAAATTAAAAACTTGCATAGCCTGGATTTTTAAAGTTAGTGAAAATAGTATTAGATAATAATTATTAAAATATTTTCAGTATTTTAACTCTTAAATAAAAAAAAAACTTAAAATTGTGAGTAAAATTTTCAACTTTGATATAAAATATTTCATTCATAAGGCTGTAATTCAAATTATTAATTGCTAATATAACAATAGGTGACATAAAAATAGTTTTGATCATTAACTCAGGTAAATTAACTCAGTTGATTTTATAAAAAAAATATGTTAAGTGAAAAAGGCATATCTTTTTAATTAGCCGTGCAATTAGAAATTTTAAAAAATTGTTCTTTTATGCTTTAAATGGTTCGAATTATGTTTTGTAGAAGTCAACACTTAAACAATTACTTGTACATAGAGATTGTAATTTTAGATAAATTTAAAATTGTTGCATAGTAGAAGCGTGTTCAGTAAATACTCTTATTAAAAATTCCCCTTCTTCATCAGGGTCAAATGTTGAAGGCACAATTAAATAATTACCAGGTGGTAATTTAAATCTAGCATTTACTTCCCTGGTATTAATAAAATGAGGCGATTTTCCAACGGATTGTCTATATTTAAAGAAATTCATTGGTTGTGGACGAACATGTAAATCTTCATTTTTCAGTTCATATACTGCAAATCCAATGGTTAAACATTCTATACCAACATGAATTTGAGAACGTCTATTCTTTTGCATTAAAGCTACAATTATAGTACACATTCCTTCGCTATCTTCATCATCTGGATCAGTCAATGTTACTACATATTGAGGATTAATATGGAAAGTTTCCAAATAATTACGACAACCGCCGGCTGTTTGTCCCGCAATCCAAGCTCCCTCAAATACAGACATTTGCCATACTCTTCTACCATCATTCACTTGATCTTCAGTCAGTGAATCTGGTGATAAATTACAAATTTCAACGCGATCAAAATGACTCATAAAATCAGAGAATGCCATCCAAAATTCACCATCTCTATCAAAGGTTAAACCAATTTCCATTTTAGTTTGTTCTGGTATATAACGCCATTCTGGTGATTGATCACTCCAGGGTCCATTCCATTCAGCCTCATTACCCCACGGATTACGCAACCGAAGCATTGGAATTTTCCCTGCCCTATGTGGTGTTACAATATCTAACAATGCAACTTTTGTTATTGAATAAGCATGACCTCGAATTAATCCACTTTGAGTTTCCGCTTCTAATACATTTGGATCTGGCTCCAAACTGCAACCCATCATTGATTTACGTTCATGAGCTTTATACAAAATATCAAATAAATTATGTGGAGCGTCTTTAATATCAAACCATTCTGTTAAACCCCCAGTAAAATCTTCCATTGCCTCAGAAGTTATTCCACCTTTTAATGCTTCATAAGATCCATGTAATTTTGCATAAGCTTTTTCAAGTAGAGCACTCCAAAATTCGTTGCGTTCAGCTGAATGCATATAAAGTAATTCACCATTGTATGTTGGTAATCTATCATCAATTACAACTTCTATCCATTTACCATATTGCCAGAATTTAAATTGAAATACACCACAATATTCTTCTTCAAAATTTTGATATGGTGGAACAACATGGAAAAATAAATTAGGATCTTGAGCTAAATTAGCAATTGCTGCTAATAACCAACAATCACCAAGTTCACCTTGCTCAATATCAAATCTAGAATAACCATCAACAAAAAATTGTGGATCTTGTGTAATTTCATGTGGTCTTAACCATTCAATATGTTTATTAGGACGTTCAGAAAACATTAATGATTCATCACAAGGCGGAAATAGTGGATCATCAAAAAGAGCACCAGCCTGTAAGCATTGTTGTTTGATTTCTTCATAATTTTGTGCATAACCGGCAGCTATTTCAATATTCCTTCGGCTAGGTAAATATCGTCTCGGTCCACGGGTTTGTTTTTTCGTGAATATTTCATTAATAACATTGCCGACCATTTCACCAGCGGCATTCATTGCTATTTGTCCAACATCACCTAAAAATTCTTGTGCAGTTTTTCGAAGAAAACTTTTAAAACCATCCATTTTGAAGATTGATCAACCAAATTCTTTAACACCCTAAAAATATAATAAAAATAATTAGTTTCCATTTTGGTAGTGTAATATTAAAAATTTTAGCATATAGTAACACAATATTGCTAAAAAGCTTTCAAAATAAAACTTCATTCAACATAACATAAAAGTTTTGAATACGTTGGAAATTCAAGCGCCAATATATTTACCGACATAGGCATAAATGTTATATATGTACCTACTTATACGAATAATACGATCTATTGTTTAGAATTTACATGGTAAAAATATTAAAATTCAAAAGATGACTAACCTAATTATATGTATCAAGATATTTCAAATTTAATTATAATAAATTATCATTAATTTAAATGTTAATATAAAACCTTAATCTTAGTAGCAATAAAAAATTCCAGAACTGGTTTCAACTTTCTCGATGTTCGTGTATTAAACTTAAGAATTTTAATGTATAAAATATCCAATTTTATTACGTATAAAGTTTACCAAAGATATAAATAAACTAGCTTTGTTGTGGCACAACATAAGCGCATTAATTATCAAAATCTTTTAATGATGACATCATATCGAAATGTAAAATATCTGCACTTTAATCGACTTTGCAAATTTTTATGTTCTAGAAATATGAAGATTTCCTGGATTTGAAGATCTCTTGGATATTTTAGCAACAATCATAGCCAACCATATTTCAAATACAAAATTTAATTAAATTTTATATTAAAACTAATTTTTCAAGTTTTTTTTCCTTTTATCTAAATATAGAATCAGAAAATTAAAATTTTTTACTCACTAGTAACTTGATTTTTATTTTCTTATATGAATTCCGTTTTGATTTTTCAGTTTTCTGCTAAACGCTTATAGAATAAAATTAGCAAATAGTTTTTTTCATCAAAACAACCTTATTAAGAAAGATACTATGCCTAAACGTTGATTTATTATTAATATGAATAAATAAAATAAATAAATAAAAATAACAATGTCTTAAAAAAATTCCAAGTATGTCATATGATTTTGACACCTTAATAATAATGTTGATTGTTGAACTTGAATATTTTTACATAGATTCACAATTTACTATGGTATTTCACAATATTTATTATTTTTCAATACATATTTTCAATTCACAATATATATTGAAACAAAACAATATTCACAATAATGTTAACCAAAATAACGTACTAAATTTGAATAATTGCGACATCTTTGGAACATTTTGAGAACTTTCAATAGAGTTATGTGAATTCAAAATATATATTTAAAATTCTAAATTTTTCATCAAACAATGAATTTTTAGCACAGTTTTATGCGACATCTATTGGGCAAAAGTATTATCGATTAGGATACAGTTAGTTTTCTACGATAATTTTTCATATATTTTTACGAAATCACAAAACGGTATACATTCAATTAAGTTCACAAATTGTTTAAAAAACGCGGGAAAAAATTGTGAATTTTTGTGAAGATTATTTCAAAATTAAATAAATTTTTAAAATTATTTTATATTTGCTACAAATTTTCTATCTAAAAGAGCACAAAGAAACAATATTAAACAAAATTTGGATTATATTTTTATTTTTAAATACAAATATAAAACATCCTTGTTTACTGTATCGTAAAATTCTTCTAGGTGACAAAACATTTATGTAAATGTGCAAATAAATTTAATTTAAATCTTTCCAAAAATATTTCCAAATTTTAATTTTACACTTTAAACTAAATTTTACCTTAAATTGATTCCAATCTATAAAATTCCTTTAAAAACAATAAAATTAATTTTTAATTTCTTTTTAGTTTTCAAAATAATTCAAATAACCGGCTCTTTAGCAATTACTTATAATGTAATACATGCATATATTGTATACGTGTCTGTCTATACAAAAATTATAAAATAGAAAAAACACTTTCCATTTTCACTTTACAAAAGTTTACACAAAAACCTATAAATACAAATTCATTTTCGAAATTAAATCAAAAATATAAAATTGAAAATTTTTATAAATATATTAAATATATGCAAGTACATACATATTAAGTGGACCCCGCATTAATAATTTTTTAAAGTATAGTTCCGAAAACAATAATTTTTAAATGCTTAAGCACTAGTAGTTCACACAAATTTTAATTCTTTTCTATCTATAGTTTTTTTCTAATTATTATTCCTTTGTTATATGCTATAAGAACTTACTTTTTTTAAAGCGCATAAATAATAACTACCTACTTATACATTTCATTCATATATGATTATACATACACACTTAGCTGAATTTCTCAGTTTTTTTAATGCAGAAAATTTTAATTATAGCACTGTCTAAGTATATAGGAAGAATTTGGAACAGTACCTATTCCTATCCTCTTTGAAATATATTTTGCTTTATTATTTTTTTGTGATTTTAAATCAATTTCTTTACCGTTGTATAAGTATTTCGATTCAGCAGTAATTAAAAAAAATTCTATCAATGTTGTATGAATTGCAAGTATTATTTTTTGTTGCACTCTTAAATATGAAATGAACTAAATATATTAGAAAATGCGATATAAAATAGTCTTTCTAGTAGTTCACAAATTTTTTTAATAATGCTTAAATCCGGTTAAGAAAATTTTGAGATCTCGAATTCTGGTGGGATTACACTCTTACCATAATAAGTTTTTCATATAGGATCTATAATGATTTATAGCATTTTTCTTATTAAAAGTACAATCCTAGTGAAAATATAAATATGAAATATAATGGTCAATTGATATTACGATAGAATTTTTAATTTCTTATACTTTGAACTCGTACTATATTTTGAATATGCAAATACATTGATTACAATATGTATTATATAGGGAATATTATTGTAAGGCTTCAAAAACAAGAACACTTTTATATACCTATGCTGTAATTTCCTTATTGTACTTTTGTAAGCTCTTAACTATTTTAGTTTTAGTTCCGTATTATTTATGATTTTTTATAATATATAAAGAAATTTTTAATCTTTCGCTTTTTAACATTTTGAATTAAAAATATGAATATTACTGTGAATTTTGACTTTATAATATAATTTATTAATAGATTAAAGAAGATATCAAAAAACGAAATTGTGAATTATTGTATTTGCTACATAAAATCACATGTGCGCCTCTTTTAAATGTTATTGGTACTGTGTGATTGTTACAAGTGCATATTTGAATGAAAATAAATAAAATATAGAACGACTTCCGCAACAAAAATTAAATATTTTTTATAAGAAAATTTATGGGTCAAATGTGATTTTTAAGAATAAGTGTGAAATACCTACATAATACAAGGAGTAACAAATCCTTGCACGAACAAATACTATTGTAAAAATTTTAATTTACTTAATTACAAATCAATTTATTTAAATTATATAAAATCAATATACAAAAACTAACTTTCTTCATTTCTAGCGACAATTGAAACTGTGAATATAATATCAGTATAAATTCAAGGATGCGATTGTATAATACATACGTGCATATTAAGCAAAGGAATCACAAATTTTGATTCAAAACCAGTTCACTACATTACTGGAAAGAATTTTGGATTTTTTACAATTCACCTTCTGAATACATGGGGAGGAATAATTCAATTTTTAACATATTTATTCCTGTTTAACTTATCATTATTTTTTCCTATATAATATGTGAACAATATTCTAATGATGAGAAAATCCTTGAAAATGAATCAATAATAATAAATTATAACTCTCATTCTAATGTATGTACATACATGTATTGTGGTATATCTATATGCAGACACAAAAATTTAACATCCCTTAAGAACATCAAAATCTACTATACAACTAGATATACTGTGAGGAAATTATAATAAGGGTGACTTATTATAATATGATGAAAATTATCTATAGTATGTTTATGGAATGCAAAATGTTGATTCTATACCAAATATCAGTTTGTATATTATTAAAGATTTTTTTATAGTTTTTATAAATTAAGTGTGTGCGATATATAGATAAAAAAATAATTTTATATCTTTAATCACATTATATAAATATTAGATTAGAATACCCACAGGATTCTATCTAGAAAGTATAGAAAGTTTTAACAAAATACGATCATTTTTACAATACTTAAACAAACAAATAAATTTTCTGCATTTTCTTATTAAATATTAAATTTTTTATGTGTTTACAGCTTAATACACATACATACATTTTTGGTCCAATTGATTCCAAAAAGGAGAGGAGTCCTAAGAGTTAAGTAAAATACACAAAACATTAATTTTTGAGCTGAATTCAGAGACAGTACTTTTTCACAATAATGAAACAATTACATTCAAAAACTATTTTGGCACAATAGCTAAACAGTTTATTATACTTGTGAATATGTAAAATTTATGCAGAGCAGCATATAAAATTTGAAAAGAAGATTTACTGAAAATTTACATAAATTTTCACAAAAGTACTCCTGAACGAAGAAGATTTGATTTTAATTCAGCAAAACTTCAAAAAGAGAAAAATAAATGGCAGCTTCTCAACGTTTATTTTCTGTCATTGTAGTTTCCTGATCCCTTCAATAATATGTGCATGCATTCATTTAATACGACCACTGAAAATATCGAACAAATTTTTTTATTGGCTTATTTATTTGAAAGATTAAAAATAATTGGCAAAAATTGTTTTACTCTCACACCCCATTATATACAAAGAAGAGTTGGTCACTTTATAAATTGCAATTTATTTCATTAACTCATAATTCTTTGTCTAAGTCCAAAATTTTAAGTTGTTCCACAATTATCATTCAATCCCCTTCCTAAAATAACAGTTTTAAATATAGTTAATTTTTTTTATTACAATAGTATGTGTAGCTAAATGAGTGAGTGTGTGTATTTATTAGGATTTTTAAGTTTTGCTACTTTTGCACCGTAACGTATAACAACTTTTTAATATACACTTACAATTCCATTTAGATATCATGAGTATGTGTCAAATGTTCTGTGAATATGCAGCGTATTTAAAGAAAGATTTTTTATTTTATCGTAATCTAATGTGGACCAACTACACATTAAACAGCATTTTTTCATCATACTATTTTGTATAGAAAATTAATAGGGTGGATGAAAACAACAAAAATATGTATGTATGTAAGTACAATTTCTTCTTTTTTGCTTTTCCAAAAAATTTAAGCGGTATCTGAAAAGATTGAATCAAGCAAAGAGGATTTTAAATTATGAAATAACGACGATGTTTATGGAACAACGTCCTCTTTTTATGTACTTTTTTAAATTTTTGCAACATAAAATTAATGAGTCCATTGGGAGACAAAAATTAAATAAAATATGACACCATTTTTTTTTACAAATAGGGATATTTTTATAAGTGTCCTTTGAGAACGATATTACGTATATAGTGTGCGAATGCCTTCAATGTCATGAAAAATTACGATCTTAAAAAATTTATAAAAATAACAGTTTTAATACCAAATAAAAAGGCTTTTTGTAGATGACAAAAAATTTAAAATAAACTCCACTTTATATTCAAATTTAAATTGTTAATACTTACATATGTATGTGTAAAAGTGTGGAGAAACGCATGCAACTTTTTGCAATTACTACTCGATTGTAGAATCGTTGCGCACATATCTAATCAATTCCAATCGATTGCATTAACTAAAAATTGCAATCACCTTGTAAAAACTTACAAACAGTTTGATTACTTACGATCATACTGTTGCATTTGTGCGCGTTGTGAATTATAAACATATGGAATTCAAATATGCAATCAAACAGTTGCAAAACTAAATATTTCATGTCTGCTTGCGCCTAAAAATACATTGAAGTGACAGCGGGAACAAATAGATGTAATCGGGATTTTCTATATCGTGTGTTTGACAATGAAATTTTAATACAATTTCAAAAATTTTCAATTTCATCATATTACACAAGTAATATAATCTTTTAATAAAAACTTTTAAAAACCTTTTGAAAATAATAATTGCACTAATTGTTAGTTTTCAATTTTAAAGTTGATAAGCT